TGACCTATCTGGATATGTTCTTTTTGACAATGAATACAACACCATTCCTCTTCAATTTGTCATTCCCGGCATAGTAAACCATGTGGTTGTCAGATTCCAAATGGCCAATACCAGTCCATTTCTGCTCACTAATGTCTAAGATATCGATGTTTATGCATTGCATTTCATTTTTGACAATTTCCAATTTTCCTAGATTCATACTTCATACATTCCATGTTCCAATTATTAATGGATGCTTACAGCTGTTTTTCTTCATTTTGAGTTGTGCCCCATCAGCAAATGAAGGTCCCGAGGGCTTTACTCCCATAGGCTTTACACCATTTGCATCATCATGGTCAACTCTACTTTGAGGAGGCAGCTCTTCCCCAGTCGCATTTTGAGTGCTTCCCAACCTGAAGGGCTCATTTTCCGGCACTATGTCTGACAGCATTCTCTGCTATTCATAAGGTTTTCAGTGACTAAATATTCAGAAGTAGTTTGTCTCTCCTTTCTAGTCTGTCTTCATCTGGAAGCTCATCTGAAACCTGTCTACCATAAGTGATCCTGCTGGTATTTAAAATACCCATGGCATAGCTTCCAGAATCCCAGCAACTCATTCCCATGAGTAGTCACCCCCATTTGCTCCTAAATCCCTTACCTCGTTGTTGAGTGCTATTTGTCCATTACAACTCATGGTAACCCTGTGTGGTGGAGCAGAACGACCCGGTCGGGTTTGTTAGGCGCTGATTGTGATGGTTATGGGACCGATAAACAGCTCGTTCTCCTGTCTGGTTAGCAGCAGAGTACTGAACCAGTGAACCACCAGGGCTCCTTCCTTGAGCTCTAGCATCTTTTCTGTCTCAATGTGTTTTCCACTGTGGACATCTTACAGAAATGGGCTCATACAGCATGTGACCTTTTGTGTCTGCCTTCTTCCACTCCACAAATCTTCAGAGCTCATCCATGTTGTAGCATGAATCACTACTTTGTTCCTTTTCATTGCCACATCATATTCCATTGTAAGGATACACAGTGTTTTGTTTATCCACTCTCTCACCAGTGGACATTTGGGTTGTTTCCACGTTTTGGCTACGAGGACTCCTATATGGGTTTTGTGTGGACAGTCTTGTTATGTCTTAAGTCTTGGCACATGGGGGACAGCAGGGATGGTTTTGATTGCTCAATTGCCAAGTGTATTGCATATTGATCTGTACATGATGATCAAACCCAGTTCTTCACTTTTCATCCCAAGTTACTTTTCTTGGGGCCATCATTTCTTCATCATAAAAATGGGGTGTGTGGTACAAGCAGTTCATAAGCTAGGCTGCTAACTGATAAGTTGGAGATTCAAGTCCACCTTGGAAGAAAGGCCTGGACATCTACTTCTGAAAAGTCAGCCACTGAAATGCCTCTGGACTACAGTTCTACTCTGACACACGTGGGGTCACCAAGACTTGAGTTGATTTCAGAACAATTTCAAAAACATCTTACAGGGTTTTGGGGAATATAAAAATGCAAAAAAATTGTCACACAGGGCTGGACACACACTGGTCAGGGATGCTTGTCATTATTATTGCTTAATGGGTGTCCTGGTGTAGTGCTGTAGGATGAACACTGGACAGCTAACTGTAAGATCAGTGGTTCAAACCCACCAGCTGCTCCTTGGAACTGACTTGATGGCTCCTAGTAACAACAATGATAATGCAGGGTGGGATTAGTTTGATGGGGACCCTCAGGAAACAGTGGGTTACAGTACCTACATCTTCGGTTTTTCAGACTAGTTCCCCACTAGTCCCTGCCTCCCAAACCCAAGGTGCCTTTGTTCATGTTAGCATCCACTTACCCCGTTAATGTTGTACCCTAAGTCAGTATATATCAGGATTGGCAGAACCCGCTCATGTTTTGCGTAATGAAAGCGTTCTGGGAATTCCTCTTTCTTGAAGACTTTGAGGTGAGGATGGGCATTCTTTAGTGCTTGGTAAACAGCTTCCTCTTTCCCTGGTTTGGGGAGGAGCATCCCAAAGCCGCCATAGTCCACAATGTCAAACTTGACCAAGTCACTGAACTTGATGTAGTTGGTCAAGAGGATCTCGGTGACATTGGGCTTCTTCTTCACTGTGGTCATGCCGTGGTCTGACGTGATGATGACATTGAGGTGCTCTGTCAGACCATGCCTCTCAATGGCTTCCACCAGATAGCCGATGGTTCTGTCAATTTGCCGGATCATCACCCTCCTGTTCTCTGTCTCTGGCCCAACCGCATGTCCCACATTGTCTGGCTCTCCATAGTAGAGGGTCACAAAATCAAAGTTTTCCTTGGTGAACCAGTTCATGACGATGTCAATATTCTCCCTCCACTCGGTCTCGTTGCTGTCTGGGTGGGTGTAAGACTCTACCAGGGACCTCTGCACAGCCTCACCATCGTACCTCGCACCTCCCCCAGGGTAGTGGAATGATGCTGTTTTCCTTCCCTGCAAGTGAAGAAGAAAATCCCATTAGGGCCATCTCTCACATCATTCCCACAATGAGCAAAGCCCAAGTCGCTGACATCTCTGCCCCATCCCAGAGGAATAGAAAACACAGGTTGTTGAGTTAGAAAGTTGGATTTCACTCCTGGTCTTGCCAGGATCTCATCAAATCTAAGAATTTTAAATGCTATTTAAGAACAACCCACCACTCATCTGTCAGTCTGTCATCCTGTAGTGGCTTGTGTGTTGCTATGATACCAGAAACTCTGCCGCTAGTGTTTGAAATACCAGCAGGGCCACCTGAGGTGGACAGACTGCAGCACAGTTTCCAAACTAAGAGATTAGGAAGAGAGGTCTGGGGATCTACTTCCAGCAAGTAAGGCTATATAATCTACATATTGCAGGCTACTGATGAGTCTTCCTCCCATCCTGATACCATGTTCTTCGTCATATAACCCAGCTTCTGAGATTATTTGCTCAGCATACAGATGGAATAACTATGGTGATAGAAGACAACCCTGACACACACCTTTCCTGATTTTAAACCATCCGTGTCCCCTGTTGGAATGACTGCCCCTTGGTATATGTACAGGTTCCTCCCGAGCATAGTTAAGTGGTGTATCCCACCCTTAATCCTTTTGTTGGTTTATCACATGAAATTACATCATGGGGGATAGCTATTTCTCAAGAGCCACAACGTTGAGAATCGTGGCCCAGTCAAAATCTTAGCTATCACACAAAATCTTAGCTATCACAGTCAGTGAAAAAGAAGAGCCCCAATGGCATGGATGGACCCAGCAGCTGAAAAAGTGGGCTCAAACATGACAAGTGTGAGGATGGTGCAAGATCGAGCAGTGTCTCATTCTATTGTGCACAGGTTGCTATGAGTCGGAACCCAGGTGACAGCATCTAACAACAGCAACAGGACATCGATACCATTCTTCAAGTTGTGCAGCCAGGCACCCTCCTTTTCTGACTTGGTCCTCCCCACTAACATCAATTCACTGTCGCTTAAGGTTGCTATCTGATCTTTCCTGTGGCCCTTCTCATCGCATGCCCATATAGACAGATCTTGAAAGAGCACAACATTCAAGACAGACATTCTTTACAAATTAAGCTAAACTTGGTTGGTCTTATGGAGACTTCAGGGAATGTTTTTGGTATAAAGTTTCAAAATATCAAGATGGATTGTGAATGCATTTTCATTTCAGAGATGACAACACGAATAAAAAAGTGCCTTAGAATGCAGGGAAAATGGTACTTTCTAAGTTGGGGATGCGGAGGCAGTTCTTTTCTCTCTTAGTGCATCAGTTTCTCTCTGTAAACGCCGACAAGCGGACCTACAACAGCTTTGGTGCAGAGCAGGCACTCGCTGTTCGTCACGTGCACATTGAATGAATGCACGAGTCTCATGTCCTTTGGTGGGTCAAAAATCAGTCTTACCCTCATGTCTGGTGAACTCATGGAAATAATTACAGAATTTCTCTCACCTTTGGGTTCCAGCATCTTGTTGGTAGCCTCTACAGCTAGCACATTTTCCTTTCTGAGAATAACAGTTTCTTTGTTTGCTTTAACTTGCAAATTCTCTACTATTTGTTTATTGCCTTCATGATTGGCATTAAACATAGTTCCTTGGTTTTTGTTTTAATTTTTTTTGTGTGTGACAGCACTTTGTTTAACTTACATATAAAATGGACTTTGTTCTAAAGTATGGGATGGGCTAAAAGGATGAAACTACTAATATATTATAGAACATTGATTGGCTATTTTATTATCTAGAATCAGCTGACACCAACATTATGGGGGGACTTAGACATTCCTGAATGTTCATCTGAGTTCCTGATGTTTGTACATTATGTGTCAGATGTCCCCAGCCTGAAATGACGATTATTATTCTATTTAATGCTGTGTTGTCAACACACAGCCTTCTTTAAAGCAATCCCAAGCCTTAGTCTTAGGAAGTTCTGATTTTTCTCATGTGCGCTCATAGGAATGTCTGGAGATCTGCTCCTCTGTGAATGAGCTTCAGAGAGGAACACGCACACATACCCACACACACTTAACTGTATTTAAGACCCACAGTAATCAAAAGCACTATTTTCACCAAGTACTTCTTAGAAATAATCTGAGCACTTAATTGGATACAAAAGAGGGGGTATTTAGTGTTCTCCCCTTTAATTAGCATAATCAGTGTTTTTAGCCGCAATAGCGATTGGAAAGTACTAGCTTTATTAGGTCCATCCTTCTCCCTTAGTGTAGTCTTGCATCGCTGGGGATTTTACTCTTAAGCCCATTCCTTACAACAGGGTTTGGCACTTGTTAAAGACAGATCCCAACTTGTGGGTTCTGTGTGGGGTTTGTCCCATTCTGGAGAGCCGAGCGTGTGTGGGTTTGTATGGCGCCCCTTCCTTTAGGTGGCAGGGCCCGCACACGTGTTTCAGGGGATGCGTGGACTGCCGACTACTGTCCTGCTTTGGTGGGAAGGATATGTGGTGCAAGAGCAGGTATGCGAGAAGGGAAGGGCTGGACTCCTGGTCCTGGAAGCCCAGGAAGCAAAGCTGGTTTCCACCCTTTCCAATGCTTTGTTCCCGAGAGGCCGCTGCAGAGAAGGAAGCTGAGACTCAGTGCTGCCGCTCACAACAACCGCACGTCCAGCTGGTCCTCAGCATCTTTGTGATGGAGGATGCCCCACTGAAACCCACTAGGTGCAGTTGGTGCCCACTCACAGCCATCCTGTAGGACAGAGGAGGGTTGCACCCAGGCGGCAAATCCCTCCAGTCGTGTTTTTCCTGCAGAGTGGCTGGTGGGGTCAAACCATCGACCTTTCAGTGTGCAGCAGAGTGCTTTAACCACAGTACAACCAGGACTATTATATGATGACCATGCCAAATCAGCTGCCATTGTGCCAATTCTGACTCATAGCCACCCGCTTGGAAAAGGGCGAACCGCCACACAGGATTTCCGAGGCTGTGGCTCTGCTGGGAAGCAGACTGTCACAACTTTCTTCTGGCTAGTGGATTTGAACAGCTGACCTTTAGGTGAGCAGTTGAGCACGGAACCAAAGCACCGCCAGTTCTATTGATGCGTAATTGCTTAATTGTCATGGTTGTTAGGGGCCCTCTGGAGTTGGCTCTGACTCAGAGCGACCTTACGCATAACAGAAGAAAACACTGCCCGGTCCCGCGCCATCCTCACATTCATTGTTACACTGGAGCCTCAGTCTGCTGTTAACTAACAGATTGGCAGCTAGAACCCACCTAGACATTCCTCAGACGAAGGGCTTGCCAATCTATTTTGGAAAAAGCCGGCACCCATCCCTTTGGAGCACAAGTCTCCTGTGACACAGGGGGTTGCCGGGAGTGAGAACTGACAGCGGCTGGTCAGGCAGAAGTAGCCGCTCCATCCTGCTCACACCTCTCCACGTCTGGGAGCTCTTGGATAGATTTGCTTTCACAGGAAACCACAGCTGCCTTCCGCAGCCTCGTCTCCTGGTCACAGCACACGTGGCCCCGTTACAGAGCCTTGTCAGCCGTGGGGCTCTCACTCAGCTGCCCCCTCTGTCCTCTGCACTTTTGAATCCTCTGTACAACTCTTCCCAAGAGACAGGAAACAAGCCCTCAGGTGTCCATGGGTTTCCTGGTCGGACAGCTGCCTGTCTTCCTCTGAGAAGGAACGTGATGACCTAGCTCAGCCATTGTTCACATGGAGGGCTCAAAAGGACTCACTCAGAGTCACAAAAAGACCCCACTTACTGGTCAGAGAGAGACTGGTGGCACCCTCAAGCCTGGAATGGAACCCACCCCCAGAGTTCACCTTTCAGCCAAACAATACCTGGGCCTATAAAATCCCGGTGTGGTGCTATCGGACAAGCACTGGGCCAAAAGGTTGATTTGAACCATAAGGTTGGCGGTTCAAACTCACCAGCTGCTCCTCAGAAACCCTAACAGGGTTGCTATGAGTCAGAACCAACTCAACAGCACTTAACAACAACAACATAAAGTGAATGGAGTCTTGGTATGGTGCTATAGCATCAGCACTGGACTGCTAACTTCAAGGTTGGTAGTTCAAACCCACCAGTTACTCCTGGGAAACGCTATACAGGGTCACTATGATTTGGAAGCAACTTAATGGCACTTAACAACATGAAGTGAATAATAATAGTACCAGGGAGGGACATAGTACAACTAACCCCACAGGACCAAAAGGGCAGCATTTGCCCCAAAACAAAGCTCAGAAGGCAGGAAGGGACAGAAAAGAGGGACAAATGGAAGCAGGGAACTCAGGGAGGAAGTGGAAAGAATGCTTTTACATTGAGGGTATTTGTAAGCCATGTCATGATACAAAATGTGTATAGATTATTGAATGGGGAGCAAATGTGCTCTGTAAATGTTTACAAAACCACAATTACAAACAGAAAAAGAAGGATCGACTTAAAACAAGGAGATCTGAGCCTGCTCCCAGTGGCCCCTCTCGCTTTATACCCTGCCCATTCCTCAGGTCCTGCTGGATGTGGGCTCCTGTCTTTGCAGCCTCCCCCACCCAGGTGCATCCATTACCATGCATCGTGATGGGTTCTGGCAGCATTGGTGGCGCAAGAATGATGAATGCACCAATCTCTGAAAAGCCTGGGAGAGGAAAGGGGAGTGGGCGTTCCCCGACGCTGGAGACAGGCAGGCTACCTTCCTACAACCTCACCTGACAATACAGACAAGCCCCTGAAAGTCAGTTGGAGTGGGTTGGTGCCTTGCTCATGGGGGCTGACTTGGGGCCACAGGTTTGCTTCAGCTGTAGTGACTGCTTGGTGGCATCATGGCAAAGTGAGGCCCAGCAATCTGTTGTCACCCTCCAAACAAGCCATCCATCGCTGGGCCCCTGCACCAGCACCTCTTTCTGCACAAACACTTGTAAATTCAGCCAAGAGGAAAAGTATTGTGTATAAATCGGTACTTCTGCCATAGCACCAGAGAACAGAGACATTTATGAGGAAAAACCTGATGTGTGGCGGCCCTAGAGGTTTAGTCCTGAGGAAACCAGTCCCTGTCCTCATGAAGACTCCTCCGTTAGTGCCAACAGCCAGCATTTATTCAGCACCAGCTACTTGCCAGCAACTTTTCATGTACATCTCACTGAATCTTGACATCTGGTGTGCAGAAGGTACAACTGTTATCAGCCCAGTTCCCATTCACATAAACAGAGAGCTTAAGTAACTTGCCCAAGGCTGCACAACTTCTAACCCTAGTCCCACCTCCTAGCTATGACAGATGAACTTGTGAAAGCCAAGCTGGGTGTCTCTAACAGTACCTGCCTCTGGGCTGTGATCCAAAGGGGGAGCACCCCATTGTCCCACCACTCCGTCTTGTTCTGCGTGGTCTTGAAGGAATACTTCCACTGTGTCTCCGTGTTAAACATCATGTTGTGAATGACTCCATGGTCTTCAATCCAGCGACCTGGGGGGTAAAGGAGGGATGGCATGGACAAGTAGTACGAAGAAATGTTGCCAGGTGCCCAGGAGTGCTGCGTGTGAGGCTGAAAGGGCTGGAGGAGAAGGTGTTAAATGGTAAACCTCGGCTCTCCATTTCTGCCACCACATCAGCCTCTGGACTTTGCTTCTTGTAGAATCCAGGTCAAGGGCAAAGTCAAGAGAGAGCTGAGGAGTCTAAGTGGGGTAAGATGATGGATAACCAAAACCAGACCACTGCTTCCCAGTCGACCCCAGCTCAGAGCAACCTGACAGGACCGAGCAGAGCTGCTGCATAGGGTTTCTAAAACTGTGTCACTTTCTGTAAACCAACTGATTGATTTTTCTCCCACGAAGCAGCTGGTGGGTTCGAACCACCAACCTTTCGATTAGCAGTTGAGCAGTTATTCACCGTGCCACTAGGGTTCCTTAGGATGAATGTAAGATGATATAGATATGAGTGGCCATCTAATAATATATAAGGTTATGCTCACCACTGAACCCAAATCCACTGCCATCAACTTGAGGCTGACTCTTAGTGACCCTGGATGGTTTCGGAGACTGTGGAATTTTTCAGAAGCAGACACTTTCATCTTTCTCTCACAGAGCAGCTGGTGGGTTTGAACTGTTGATCTTGCAGTTAGCAGCCCAACCCCTAACCCACATTGTTACCAGGGCTCCTTACATAAGATCTATGTCACTATGCATATTTAATTTCATTCATAAATATTTACCATACAGCTGACCCTTGAACAACACAAGTTTGAACTGCGTGGGACATGTACATGGGATTTTTCCCCTGTTGCTGTGTGGTTAGCTGAAACGTGTGTGACAGTAGCCATCTCTGCAGTCCCTCACCCTTCTGTCTCTCCTGAACTCCGTGTTGTTTGAAGATAAGGGCTCCCTCTCCTTCTCTGAAATGTAAGCTTGATACATATTATGTTGTTGTTAAGTGTCCTGGAATTGGTTCTGACTCATAGTGACCCTGTATAGGGTTTCTGAGGAGCGGCTGGTGGATTTGAACTGCCGATCTTATGGTTAGTGCTTATCCTGCAGCGCCACACCAGGACCCACCTTAGGTTAACACAGCTTAAAAGAAACTGTTCTTCCTCATTTGGTCTTCAGGTCCTCAGAGAAACGGCCAGGCTTCTTTCTGTTGGCCGGATTAGGGGAGAGTCTGGGGCTGTGCAGAGAGTTCTGGGGGCAGAGTGACTAAGTGCTCGCCTGCTAACTGAAAGGTTAGCGGTTCAAACCCACCAGTCACTCTGTGGGAGAAAGACCTTAAAGATTGCAGCTGAGAAGCCTCTGTGAGGTAGTTCTAATCTGCCAATGGGTTCGGTGAGTTGAAATTGACTCGATAGCCCCCGCAACAACAGCAACAAGGGTCTGTGCTGGCTGAGGGACAGAGAGATGTCCACAGAGCAACTTCCGTGTATGTGGGAGACTGAGAGAAAGAGCCAGGAAAAGAGATTTTTAAACAGCATTACTACGCATTTTGACAGTTATTTTCCAGTGGTGTTTGTTTGGAGGGACAACGTTTCAGTGGTCCTTCAGGATGTTTGGACGCTGGACTCATGTTTCTTTGAGTCCAGCATTGAACCAAGATCAGCACATGGCTCAGCTTGGTAATTTTTGTTACATTTATAGAAAAAGCATGTCCCAGGCCCATCTTCAAAGACTTACCATCTGAGGTATTGGGGCAGGTCCACAAATAACTTGTTGAAACCTTGAAGTAGAGGAAGTATGAAATAAGGTGGGGGTGGGGTGGGGGGCATGACAGAAATGATGAGGCCATTAGGGTGGGCCCTAATTCAATATGACCAAACCAAAAAACTCCCAAACCTACTGCTGTCTCGTCAATTCCAACTTCTAGCGGCCTTACAGAGGGTTCTGAGACTGCACATTTTTATAGAGACAGACAGCTTCATCTTTCGCTCTCGAAATGGCTGGTGCCTTTGAACCGCCGGCCTTCAGGTTAGCAGTCCAACACCTAACCCACAGCACCACCAGGGCCCGGTCCAATAGGACAGACCAGACGACACAATAGGAAGATGGTCATGGATGCTGGAGACAGAGATTGAAGTGATGTTGCCACAAACTAAGGAATGCCCGAGGCTACCAGAAGCTGGAAGAGGCAAAGATCTTTGTTAGAGTCTTCGGAGACAGTGTGGCCCTGCTGGCACTTCGAATGGAAACATCTAGTCTCCATAACTGTGGGAGACGACATTTCTCTTGTTTTTTCAAAGTCAACACGAGTGTGGGACTCAGTTACAGCCACCCTAGAAAAGGAATATATTGTTGTTAAGTGTCGTCAAGTTGGCCTAGGCGCGTAATATAGGGTTTCCAGGGTTGTACATCTTTGCAGGACCAGACAGCTTGCAATGCACTCTTATGGAGTGGTTGGTGGGCTCGAACTGCTAATCCTGTGGTCCACAATCCAGTGTTCATGTACAGGAAATGACTATAGTAGATATTTAACAAATACCAGTTGGATTGAGTTGAACAAGCCCCCCGTCCCCTTTCGTTTATAGGTGAGCAGGTAGAAACTGAGCACTCAGGAAGCAGAACCCCAGTTAGGAACTTGATTTGGAACACAACAAACTGAATTTTAAGGGGGGAAACTTCAGTAGGATTAAAAAAAAAATGCTATGAATTCCATTAGAACGCATTTGTTCAGCTCCAATTGACTGCTTTTCAGATAAGGAGCCTTGGTGGCTCAATGGTTAAGTGCCTGGCTCCTTATTGAAAGGTTGGTGGTTCAAAGCCAGCCATCAAACCCATTTCTGTGGGACCAGGCCATCTGTTCCTATGCAGATGGCAGTTATGGGACAGTCCTACTCTGTTACATGGGGTCCCTCTGAGTCAAAGCCAACTCCTTAATCAGTAGAAATGAGCACTGACGGCAGAGTGCAAGGTTGGGGGTTCCAATCCAGTCACTTCTTGAAAGAAAGATGAGTCTGTTTGCTCCATGAAAGATCCACAGGCTGGAAAACCCTAAGGAATGATTCTTCTCTGTCATACAGTGTTGCTATGAGTCAAAATCAACTTGACGAGTGGATAGAAATGAGGTGTGTTTCAGAACTAGCACCCCATGATGGAGAAAATAATACCGCTAAAGACCCCACATTACCAAGCCATCCTTCCTTAAGTGTGAATGCTAATGAACATGTGCAGACACTGTGTCTTCTTGACATTGCTTTTTAATTACGGCCAACAATAAATCATGGTTTCCTTCAACAAGACTGAGAATGGCCCTAAGGCAGAGACTGGATTCTTTAGGAACTGAGCCATGAGGGAATGGTCGATCTCTCTTCCCAGCTCCTCTCCCTACCTGCTGACAGGAGCAGAAATGTTCTGTCTTCAAGCCGCTGGGAGCAGACGGTTGTACTTGTGTTCCACCTGAGACCCCTGATAACCCCCAATTTCAGCCTCACCTGCCTTTATGGTCATAAAGGCACAGAATCTTTCCTATCTGTTCTTCTGTGTCTTTCCCCCATCGTCTGTCCCTCCTACAAGTTACAGTGAACTTAGCAGTGGTCACCCAAACGATGGGTCCACGTCTGTGTCCCTGGAACCTGTGAATATGACCTCCTTTAGAGGAAAGGGCTTGGCAGACATGGGCAAATTGAGGATTATTTTAAGATGAGATGATCATCTTAAAAAAATCTCCAAGGGGAAGCAGAGGTCCCTGGGACCATCAATGGAGAAGAGCGGAGAGCGGGATCCTACCCAGAGAAGCAGTGATGCCTGAGATGGAGGCAGAGACAATGATGTGGAGCGATGGAACAGCTGAGGACTTTAGACCCAGAGAGGGAGAGGGGCTGTGTGCTGATGACCAGGGGGCAGGCTTGCAGGGTATATACCCTTTGGTTGGTGATGATGCATGGAGGTGATTGTAACCATGGCAATGAAACAATATACGATAGGCTGAGTGTAAAGCTAATGTTCTCCCATGAAAGCTATTACATAATTCACAATAAAACATTTAAAAAAAAGTCTCCAAGGAGAAAAAAAAAGGGAAGAGAGAAAGAAAATGAATATGGGAAAGGAAAGTGTTGAGCAGGTACGATGGACTAAAATAAGATGAGCTAACTGCTGCTGGTTCTTTAAGCTGGGTGATGGGGTGCACAGGGGTTCCTTAGGCACTTCGTGCTATTTTGTGCAGTTTAGAACTTTCCATAAGGAAAAGTTAAGAAAAATCTTAGTTTCCCAGTCTTGTTGTCCTCTGTCCCTGCCCCCACCACCACTTTAATTCTTTGTGAAAGTGACTGGTGGTTGGGTGGCATCTTTTTGGTTTCAGACTGTAGTTTTCTTGCTTTCAGGGCTTGTTGATTTCCAGGACTTTCTCTTTGGAGAAATGTTTATAGAGAAGCAGGGTGGGAACTGATGGCGTTTGACAGCCTCTTCTAACTAGTTTCCTGACAACATCTGACTTCTAGTGTTACGGACAGCAGGAAGTTAATTTCCTTTCTCTGTGCATTTTCCGGTACCTTTCTGAATCTGCGTTTGTCACTGGATGGTAGGGCATATGCTGTTGTCATCGAGTAAGCTGTGACTCACTACGACCCCGTGCCTTACAGAATGCAGCATTGCCCAATCCTGTGTCCTCTTAGATCATTGGCAATCTGGAATCCATTGTTTTTGCCATGAAGTGTTTTGAGTGATTCTCAATCTAGCGGGCTTGTCTTCCAGCACTGTACTGGACAGTGTTCCATTGTGATCCATAAGGTTTCATCAGCTAATATTTGAAAGTAGATTACCAGCAGTGTAAGATCACCAGGCCTTTCTTCCTAGTCTCAGTTTGGAAGTTCTGCTGGAAACTGTCCACTGTGGGTGACTCTTCTGGTATTTGAAATACCGGTGGCAGAGCTTCCAGAAGCTTAGTAAGCAACTGTTGTTTTTATTAAGTGCTATTGAGTCGGTTCTTACTCATAGAGACCCTGTTTGGGGTTTCTGAGGAGCGGCTGGTAGGTTTGAACTACCAACCTT